CAGTTCAGCACGGTGATGCCAATGAAGTCATTATTGGAGATGACAGTGTACTACGGATGCAGGGCAGGCTATATGTACCCAATGTAGATGGCTTGCGTGAGTTGATTCTCCAGGAGGCTCACAGTTTGCGGTACTCCATTCATCCAGGTGCTGCAAAGATGTATCAGGACTTGAGACAACACTATTGGTGGAGGCGGATGAAGAAAGACATAGTGGAGTATGTATCTCGGTGTCTAAATTGTCAACAAGTGAAATATGAGCATTAACGACTAGGTGGATTACTTCAGAATTTAGAGATTCCAGAATGGAAATAGGAGCGGATCTCTATGGATTTCATTGTTGGGCTCCCCNGGACTCCCACAGACTCAGATGAAATTCGATGCAGTTTGGGTGATTGTGGATAGATTGACCAGGTCATCTCATTTCATTCCTGTGATTACTACTTACTCTTCAGAGCAGCTAGCTCAGGTATATATTCGCGAGATTGTCAGAATTCACGGTGTACCANTAAAATTTTCTGAAAAGTTTTTATATGAAAAATGGATTAAAATATGAATTAGAGCTTTAAAACTCAACTGAGTTGACTTTGGTTAACATTTAGAGCAAACGGACTCGGATCAGTGTTTTGACAGTTCAGGTAGGTCCATATCGTGAATTGGGACTTGGGCGTATACCCGTAATCAAATTTCGAGGTCCCTAGCCCGAGATATGAAATTTTGAAGAAAAATTAAAAGTTTAAGTTTGTGTGATATTTTAGGACTTGTTGGTGGATTGAGTTGAGGTCCCGAGGGCCTCGGGTGAGTTTCAGATGGTTAACGGATTAAAAGTGGGACTTAGTTGCTGCAAAAGCTGCTGCAATTTTTCTGCTGGAAATACTGTCAAAATCGTGCTGCCTGTCAAAATCGAGCTCCCTGACAAATCGAGCTCCCTGACAAATCGAGCTCCATGACAAAATTGAGCTCCCTTACAAATCGAGCTCCCTGACAAATCGAGCTCCTTTACAAAATCGAGTTCCCTTACAAAATCGAGCTCCCTGACAAAATTGAGCTCCGTGACAAATCGAGCTCCCTGACAAATCTGTAAATTATAAAAACAGGGGACTTCGTCCTATTTGCCTTTTTGATGAATTGGAGCTTGAGGACAGGTGATTTTGATATATTTTCAAGGAAAAATATTGGGGTAAGTGATTCTAACTCGGATTTGGTCAATATACACGAATATATCATTGTTTTCACCATTTAATTAGTGTTTTGAAATAGAAATTTGAGAAACTTTTAGAAATCTCATAGAAACGAATTTTTGAGGTTTCGGTGTCGATCCGAAGTTGGATTTGAGTGAAACTGGTACGGTTGGACTCGTAATTGAATGAGTTGTCGGATTTTGTGAGTTTCGCCGGATTCCGAGGTGTGGGTCCCACGAACGAATTTTGAGCTAATTTCGGATTTTATTGAAAAATATAGTATTTTCTTATGAAATTGATTCTTATAATTTTTTTGTCGACTGTATCAAATTAATTATGACTAGATATGAGTCGATCGGAGTCGAAAAATTGAGGAAAAAGCATAATACTTGGTTAAATTGGAGCAAGTCGAGGTAAGTGACTTGTCTAACCTTGTGTGGGGGAAATTTCCCCTAGGATTGATAATTGTAATGTGTGAAATGTCGTGCACATGAGGTGACGAGTGTGTACACGAGCTAAATGTGAAAGATTATGTTTTAAATTGTGTAGATCACTGTTGCGCATTAATTTATTATTTCATTTTGTTATATTCTTCATCATTGATTTAATGTTTATAATTTAAATTTGCTTGACCTTTTCCTGCTAATTGTTTTATCTGTTTAGTTGGAATTTGGTTTCTTTTATTCTGTGCATTATTTGAAGGTTGATTTTCTTTAAATTAAATATTATTAATATGAAGTATTTTACATTTTTAAACTTGATATTGAAGCAACGTATTAAAGATTTTGAAATATTATTTTCTTGAATATTTTGTAAGATTTTCTTACTCATTGTGATGGAGCCGCGAGCTCTTTATTGTGAAAAAATATTATTGATGATTTATTTTGGCATGAGCCGTGAGCTCTTTATTGTGAAAAAATATTGTTGTTGAATTATTTTGGCAAGTTAAATTATTTGAGTACTTGAGGTGCAAATTGTGATATATTATGATATTGATACGCATTGCGGTGGTATAAGGTCTGAGTATTGAAACGCATGCGGTGAGATAAGGGTGGCTTGAAACGCGTGGCTAGTAGGGGGAACTACTAGAAGTCATGCGGTGTGATAAGGATGGCTAAAATACGGGATGCTATTTCGGGAAAAAAATATTTTCTTTCAAATAAATTGTGAAGGCTCCCACGGTGAGATAAGGAAATGAGATATTATGAATTTTCTTATGATTTGGGAGTACGAGGTGGTACCTCGGAAGTGTCCTTGTTGATATTGATTTATGACCGCTGTTGCCTTTGATTATTATTGTGATTTCTTAAAGTTGAAATGAATTATGTTTTGTTTTCACGAGGTATTTATTTGCCATTATTTGGTGTAATTAAATGTGACATACTACTTGATTTATTTTCAATGTCAATTTATTTTACTATATTGTTAAACATTTTACATGCCATTATTATATTCCAGTAGGGCCTCACCTGACCTCGTCACTACTCTACCGAGATTAGGCTTGACACTTACTGGGTACCGCTGTGGTGTACTCATACTACACTTATGCACATTTTTTTGTGCAGATCCAGGTACATCTTACCAGCCTAGACGTTAGTGAGTTACCTGCGCACGGAGACTTCGAGGTATATCTGGCAGCGTCCGCAGACACCGGAGTCCTCTTCTATCATTTTTATGTTGCTTTCTTATTTTTTTTAGACCTTGATATATAGAGACATTGAGAATAAAATCTTAGAATCTTGTGACTTATTTCTACCGGGTTTTCGGAGTTGTAATTATTTGAATTGTAGTTTATTTATTTCAGATATTTATGATTATTCCGCATTGATAGGCTTATCTAGTCTTAGAGATTAGGTGCCATCATGACCTCCTACAGAGGAAATTTGGGGTCGTGACAAAAGAGATTGACACATTTCAATAACATTTGATAAGAAAGTGATGATACAACCCATTATTTTAAGTAAAAAATAGATAGATGCACTTCATAGTTCTATTAAATATTACATTCCATGAGAGGATCTCAAGTATTTCTAGATATCTTTTAAAGAAAAATTCTACTTAAAGATTTAAAAGTATATATAAATATTATATATTTACATGTCGGTTTGGTGCAGTTATATATTACTTTCTTTAATCACCACTTGAAAGGGGAAGACCCTTTTCTCCTTTTGCCTGTGACATATTTGTTTTTCTAGTTATTCATTGGGTTCTCTATTGATGCGTGTATGCTTTCGTCGAGAGAACCACAAGAAATTTTCATAAACCTAGATTTAATTCCATCGATTTAACTGTTTTCGATAGGGAAAAAAATCATAAATGGAAAAGAAGAAGGTATATAGTTAATAGTATGAATTTGAAAATGCTTCGTCCGTGAGTGTAAAATGGGATTCGCTATTAAGTACGTAGAACTAAGATTGTCACACCACAGTTTTGGAACTGTCGAGAAAAAGCAACCGATTTCTCGAAGGAGATGTTCAACCCACGTAATTTCTGATGTAGTAGCAGCTAAAGCTCGATACTCGGCCTCTGTACTCGACCTAGAAACATATTTTTGTTTACGTGAAGCCCATGAAACAAGTTGAGAGCCTAAGAACAAAGCAAATTCAGTAGTCGACTTCCGATCAGTAACATCACCTCTCCAGTTTGAGTATGTATAACCGTGTAGTAAGGACGAGGATTGTGAAGTAAAAAATAAACTATATGATGGTGTCGCCTTAATATACCGTAGAATGCGTTTAACAGCAACCCAATGTGAGTCAAAAGGATTATGCATGAACTCAGGGGCGGCCTAAGGGTAAGGCAAATGAAGCCATTGCCTTAGGCCTCCAATATATTAAGGGCCCCAATTTTAAGTACTGTGTGTCACATATATTTTATGTAATTATTATTAATAAAATATTTTAAAGTTTTAATTAAAGTTATACAATTGAGTGGTAAAAAAGGATAAATTTCTCTCTCATTTAATTAAATGATGAACGTTATCAAATCTAATTTTTTCACCTCTATGTAACACTCATTTTTTTAATGTTTATAATGATTTTTACTTTCTAATTTTAACTCAGTTTCTCTGAATTGGCTATTTCTTTTCACCATAATTTATTGATCCATCCATATTATGGGAGTCAGCGTATAGTAAATATACATAAAATAAAAATAAATATTATTTTTACTATACGTTGACTCTCATAAAATAAAAAAATCTAATAAATATATATTACGTATATTTATTTTAGTAATAAAATTTATTTTACTCTCAGCAATGATTTTACGCATATTTATTTTATATCAACGTATAGTAAATATTATGTATATAATAAAAAATCTAGATAACATTTGAGGTTATCTAGATAAAAATCATTGCAAATAAAAATTAACGGTGTTTAACATTTCTTAGTAAAATATATATTTTACGTATTGTAAATAGATAAATAGTAAATAAATTCTATGTATATTTACCATTTGCTATCTAGATAAATCTGTTATTTTTATTTCTTTCGGTAAACAAGAAAATAAAGGGAACACATATTTTGTTAAATCTTAGATTTTTGTTAAAAAATAAAATGTGTTTAGTGTTATGACTAAAAGTGCATCACTTTGTTAAAGTAAATGGACTATTAGTGTTCCATGTGGAAGAATATGCATGACTTTGAGTTTAAAGACAAAGATAATATATGTTTTTAAGTTTTTTTCAGTGTTATGAATAAAAGTGCATCACTTTATTAAAGTGAATGTACTATTAGTGCTCCATGTGAAATATGATGTATTGTTTTGGTCTTTTAATTGTGCAATAACATTAATTGTTTCATCTCTTTTTAATTGTCGTTCTTCATTAAGAAGAAGACCATACATAGCATCAAAGGTAATATCTTCTTGCCGCGATTCAAGCGACCTAATAAATGGACGGTAAATATGACCCAACCCAGCAAGAACAAATTCAACTAAGTCGTCATTAGGAACTGGATGCTGCAGTGCAGCTAGTTTATCAACAATTCCCTTCTCCTTTTGAACATATGACTCAATACTTGCATCTTTGTCTTCTCTGTTACTCATTTTCTTCTGCAGAAAGTTATTGCACATTATTTACCCCAAATTTGTCTACCCTTGTGGGTTGCACCTCCAAGATTCATTAACTCTGGTTAGTACTTGATGCCTTTTTCCCGGTCTTGCCTTATTGCTATAGGCAATCAGGTGTGTATTAGTTAATTTCCAATTCTTTTCAATATACTTTCTTGCAAGAATTTTTACGTACATGTTCGTAATTTTACCTGATTTACACATGCATTTTTGCCTTTGTTACCAACTAATTAGTCTAAAATTAGATCGTGTTAAGCTATCACTAACTACTAGAAATTAAAATTGGATTGTGCAGCCAAGATGTTTGATTTTATGCCTGAGCCATCTTATTTGGAGTATTCTGATGTCTTTGCCTTTTGGTGCTGCAACAAGGAGATATTTGGGAGCGACTTAGCAAAAACTCTTCCTGAAGAAAGTTGATTATCTTACCTTGATGATTCGAGGGCCATCGTTCAAGACTTGGGTCACCATGTTGGCTATTATCGTCTTCCACACTAAAGATGCAAGGTATGATTATTAATACCTGTTAATGATATTCTTCTTGCTTTATATTGGTCAACAATGAAATCATGGGTATTGTTCACTAATGTTGAATATTTTTACTTTTGGTGTTTGGTAGGTTGTTTTACTTTTTCTCCGAATTGAGTAGTAAGACGGCAAGAATCATCCTCTATATGAACATTTTGAGCAGAGTTTGTTTCTGCTGTTTGACCTCAGTTCCGGTGAATTTTCTCTCCATTCTTCCTTTTATTGACACCTATTTGTTGGTTGAGAATTTGGTTGGTGTTTATCAGTTTCCTTATTCTTTTTATTAATTTTGTGCTGGATTTTCTATACGAATATCATCATCTTCCCATGCATATTTGGTAATAGATATATAAGTGCATGTGAGTGTGTATGATTTTGATGAATACATGTTCGTTTTTTTTTGGAGAACTAAAACTAATTTTTTCCCTCTTTTAATTTTGAAAATTATCAAAGATTAGAAATAAGATTTTAGTGTGCTTGTTCTGTTCTTTGTCACTTTGTTGATCATTCAAGTTGTGTGTGTTTCAAGCTGAACAGCAAGTTGCAGTATCTTGCTTTCTTGGTTCCACAAGATAATTTTTTTTGTTTGTATTTTTTCTAATTTTAGTGGGTCTATCTGAAATATTGATGCCCTGAAAATCAGGGCGAGGAAGGTGAAGAGTAGTTATACTATGTGGATGCCATTAGAGAATTCTTGAAGTTCTTTGTTTGTAGAGAAAGAGAATGTGAAACAATTTTTTTAATTTTTAGGAACATTCCCTTTTTCCCTTTTTGATGAGTATTTTATTTGCATATTTATTTATTTGGTATCTTTAAGGAGCAGAGTAAAGCTAAAACAATTCCACATTTGAAGTCAAACTTTTTGGCATTTTAAACTGGTCCTCTAAATTATTTTTTCCCTTTAAATAGTTAATCTATCTTCTTCATAAATAAACAGTTAGTCTCTCTCACAAACGTCCAGCTAATATTAGTTGAGAATGAGGGGGATTTTTTAATAAGAACCATTTTGACCAACTGCTTTTGTAATGGGTAACGAGGTATTCTTTAAGTTTGAGGAAAAAATCAAAGATAGGTTAGAAATAAAGATCAATCAATAATAGTTTATTCATGATAGAAGGTTCTTTGACTAAGGAATAAAGTATATAGGATATTTCCATCAAAGATTGAATTATAGATGACAGATGATTTCTTTGACTGGGGCGACAATGACTCTCCCTATCTTTTCTTTTGACACCATCCATTCTACCGATAAATAGTGCAGCCATAGAAATGAAGAAGAGCTATTCGTTTCTGATACTTGTGGTGATATTTTTATGCTTTAGTCTCAACACCAATCTCTCATTCGGAGGGGACAGCATTTCTTGGAATGAATCTCTTTCTATAGGCCAAACAATTAGCTCTTCAGGTGGAAACTTTGAGTTTGGTTTCTTCCAACCAGAAAACTCTCTCAATTACTACATAGGCATATGGTATAAAAGAGTTCCCGTGCAAACAGTAGTTTGGGTAGCGAATAGGGAGACACCAGTTAGTGATGCTGCCCAGTTGACAATTATTCAAGGCAATTTGGTCCTTCTTGATAAAAATCATAACTCAATTTGGTCAGCACTTTCTGGGAACGTCATTCGAAATATTTCAGTAACAGCAGCTCTTCATGATGAAGGCAATTTGATTTTGAGTGATATGTCAAATTCGTCAGCACCCTTACTACTTTGGCAAAGTTTTGACTACCCAACGCACACGTTATTGCCTGGTGCTAAGCTTGGATATGACAAACGTACCCAAAAAAAAAGTGTTCTAACTTCATGGAAGAATTCGTACGATCCTGCACCAGGATTGTTTTCTCTGGAACTGGACCCAAAACATGCCCAGTTTGTTCTTAAATGGAACAAGACTACACAGTATTGGGCTAGTGGTTCATGGAATGGTCGTATATTCAGCTCATTGCCTGACTGGCTGGACACAGTATACAATTACAGCTATACAGACAATGAGAACGAGCTATATTTTACATATTCCCCTTTTAATAGGGAAATCGCATTCAGGTGGAACATGGGTCTCTCAGGACAAGTTCAACAACTATCATGGTCGGATGGTTCCATTGCTTGGAGTCCACTCTGGTCACTACCTGGAGAACGGTGTGAGGTTTATGCTAATTGTGGGGCGTTCGGGGTTTGCAGTAATGCTAACGTATTCTGCAATTGTTTGAGCGGTTTCAAGCCAAGATCAATTGGTGAATGGTACTCGAAGGATTATTCAGGTGGCTGTGTAAGAAATGGAAAGTTGCAATGCAGTGACATTGCTGAAGACAATGACAGTTTTTGGATTAATTTAACTATGAGATTACCTATTCCACAATATACTAATGTCACAGTTGAGGATGCCTTACAGTGTAGATCTACTTGTTTCAACAGTTGCTCTTGTACTGCTTATACTTATGATGGATCCAGTACCTGTTCAATTTGGGCAGGGGATCTGTTCAATTTGCAACAGCTCAGCCAAGATGAAACAGGAAGTACTATCTTTGTCAAACGTGGCTCACCGGAAGGTTAGAATAGCATACAAGAATAACTTATCTTAATTCTTTATTTCATAATGGTAAAAAGCACTATGTTGTGGATACAATTCCTTATTAATATTAACACCCATGGCAATGATTCTCTTATTCTTTTTTCTTTGTTGAGGAGTTAGTGAACAAAGTAAAAATATCAAATCCTTCAAGATAGATGTTAAATATATCTAACTTGTTCTTGGCTCTCTACTTTCAGCTCAAACTAAGGCTACGAAATCGATGAAGCTGATAGCTTTACTTTCATCCATAACAACTTTTATGGCTCTACTGATAGGCAGCTTTAGCTATATCTACTTTAGAAGAAGAAGGAGAAGAATGGAAATAAGAGCAGGTATTTACTGAATGAATCTCACTCTGGAAGATTTTTTATTTATCCCTTTTTGGACTTAATTCCAAAGGACTTTCTCAATCCGATCATTGAGGTAATGAGCTATGTTGCTCGGACTCAGGTGCGGCTATCCAATCTGGGCTTGGATCTAATGGTCGTATCCTTCATAATCTAAAATTTTAGATACACGGTTACGTATACAGGTACGGATAAGGGGAGAGATTCGGTTAAAAATAATTCAAAATTTTAAAAATAGATCTATAAAAATATCCTACACTATGAGATATTATGTGGAAAAACTTACTTGTAAGTTGTGGAGTGCATCCAATAATTCAATCTTTCATTTTGAGAATTTTTCAAGTTGTAGGCACAAGGCACTGCCATGTCTCTAAATTCAATCTTTCCTTTTTTTTCTTCAAATTTGTCCATAGATTTTGGTCAAAGTACCCGATCTCGATTGATCACACCCAGTACGAATCCCACACCTTTACTAGTACCAGTGTCATGTCGAGACGGGTGCGGTGGCTAAAATGAAGAGCCCGCACAACATAGGTAATTGTATGACCCAAACCTTAGATTTAGGCTTATGCAATCGAATTTTATAATAAAGTGGGGTTAATCTTAGCCAATATTAATATCCAAAAGATAAACCAAATGCTTCTTGTAGTAGGATCTCACGTGTGCTGTTTGAATGGCAATAAATAACAACAATAATGCTATAATCAACGATCAAAGAATATGAAAAATAGCAACAAATGACAATAAATAGCAATAAATGGCATTTATATAAATAAAATGGATGTGAGTCACCCGAAAAGGGTGGGATTCCTTGATATTCCTTCCGACAAAGATAGATGATGATAAGTTTTTTGAATATTCGGATCTTCCTTGGATCGTGGGAGAAAAGATAGATAAAGATGCGAGAGAAAGGTGGACTTTGTATGTATATGGTAAAGTAAGAATCTTCAGAGAATGTTAATGTGTTGTTCTTTACCAAATCAGTATCCAATCTCATCTATAACTATATATTCTTCTATTTATAGGGGTACATGGACAAAAAAACCCTAGTTAGTAAAATTGGGAGGAATATTCACTAGAATATTCCCTTAGAAACCATATTCCTAAAACTAGCCTTTACTGCTAGACCTCATCGACGACATATCGTTTCTTTCATGACGTCAACCTTTTGATACCAAATCATCACGTCCTGTTGGCTACACGTGGTAGCCTCCGAAGGCTACTTAATGTTGACAAGGCCCACATATATTTATGGTAATTTTTAACCCATACAATTAGTCCCTCTGGTTGTTGAGGTCGTCTTCGTGGGCGAGATCAATGAGCGGATAAGGGCAGTCGTGGTCGTTGTAAAAACAGTTAGTCCCTCTGCTTGTTGAGGTCGTCCTCGTGGGCGAGTTCAATGAGCAGAGAACAACAGTTGTAGTCGTTTTAAAAACAGGCGACGTAGCGCTACGTGGACCGCATGTCTCAAATCTTAAATTTCCTGGGTGATTTAATGGAACTATCTTGTCAAAGAGACACGTGATGTGATGACATCATTCATCATGATGACGCTGGTTCTCGACGCGTCGCGTCGGTTCACGCGCGGCCCTTGATTGGCTTTGTCGTTTCGATACTAGTGACAATTATGATGGACCGTTTCGGGTTCGGTGCCTTTATCTCTATAAATAGGGATTGTGCCTCCATTATTTGAGTTTCACTTTCTTTAGAGCCATCTTTGCTTTGCGGAAATTTTTCTAGCTTATCATACCCGAATTTTCTTCGCATTTTGATATTTAACTTTCCTTCACTCTCATCTTCCATACTTCATCATTCTACAAATTCCATAGCTATGTCGAATCTTTCTTCTAAAGTTAATGAGGAAGATCAACTTACTCCACTGGCTGTCGTGTTTCTCGTTCGTGGGGGAGATGTGGACCAGCTCGCAGATAGCTCATGGTGCGACTCTGCTTGCGACCGAGATGGGGAAGAAGAGGACGATGGAGGTCGAGGGGTCGGCGGCCACTGGATTTTTGTGTTTTTGTTCATCTCTTGTACTTTTGGTTGGCGCCTTTGAACGCCTTTGTATAAACATTCTCTATGAATATAAAGGTTCTTTTTGGTTTCATATATGCCTTTTGTCTTTGTGCGTTCTTATATTTGTGCTTGTGTTCATTGTTATCTTCCGCTCGAGTTTAGGCCTAAGGCTGATAAGTGTTGTTCGAACGGGTCGAATCATATCGTTGAGTTATGTCGAGGCCGAGGGCCAACAAATGCGATTCGAGTTGACCGATCATACAAAGTCGTAGCCGAGGTCTAATAAGAGTCGCTTGAGCTGTTAGAACGTACCTTTGATTAGGTTGTGGCCGTGGGCTAATAGGAGTTGTTCGAGCTGGGCGAACTTTCCTTTTGTTAGTTCATGGCCGAGGGCCGATAGGTGTTATTCGAGCGTGGTCGAACGTACCTTTCGTTAAGTTAGGGCTGAAGCCCGATAGGTGTTGTTCGAGCTTGGTCGAACGTACCTTTCATTGATTTAGAGCCGAGGGCCGATAGGTGTTGTTCGAGCTTGGTCGAACGTACCTTTCTTGTTAAGTCGTGGCCGGGCACCGATAGGTGTTGTTCGAGCTAGTCAAATGTACCGTTCTTGTCAAGTCGTGGCTGGGAGNCCTTTCATTGATTTAGAGCCGAGGGCCGATAGGTGTTGTTCGAGCTTGGTCGAACGTACCTTTCATTGATTTAGGGCCGAGGGCCGATAGGTGTTGTTCGAGCTTGGTCGAACGTACCTTTCTTGTTAAGTCGTGGCCGGGCACCGATAGGTGTTGTTCGAGCTAGTCAAATGTACCGTTCTTGTCAAGTCGTGGCTGGGAGCCGATAGGTGTTGCTCGAGCTGGTCGAACGTACTGTTCTTGTCAAGTCGTGGCCGGGGGCCGATATGTGTTGTTCGAGCTGGTTGAACGTACCGTTTAGGAGAGCAATTTCAATAATTACCTTTTAGGAGAGCAATTTCAATAAACGTGCATCTTTATTATTTCATCGTTGTTGCACTGATTACATCATTTTTCCCTTAGGCAATTTTTTGGAGAAAAATTACAAGTTTTGGGTGTTAGCTGGCATTCTAGTCCTAGTCCCAGTATATCTAGTCCCTTCATTGTTCAACTTGGAGATTCTTGAGGAGTCGGGCAATGAAATATGTGTCTGTTCTCGTGTAATTCAATTCGAAGTATCCCGCTCGTCGCCTCGTTAAAAACCTCCTTGAGAAAACCTAACTACGACAATACTCAAGCGAGGGAAAAAAGAGTACGACTTATGGGACATTTGTTATTTTTCAGAAGTTGAAGTACTTAAGATGACTCATACTCCAATTGTTTGGTAGGAGTTTCCCTTCCATAGTTTACAATTGGAACAAATCCTTGTCTGCTCTCCCTATGATTTTGTATGGTCCGTCCCAGTTAGTTCCTAACTTGCCTTCTCGTGAGTCTCTATTTGCTTAGGTCTTGGCTTTGAGCACGTAGTACCCGACCTTGAGTAATCAAATTTTTGCCTTTTTGTTGTAGTAGCGTTCTGCTTGCTGTTTTTGTGCGACCATCCTTATGTATGCCATATCTCGTTGCTCCTCGACCTCGTCGAGATCTTGTCTCATGTTCTCGTCGTTGTCGTTGCCGCTTTCATGGGAGTACCTTAGGCTGGATTCTCCGACTTCAACTGGTATTAGTTCCTCCGTTCCATAGACTAGAGAATAAGGTGTCTCTCATGTGCTCGTCTTCGGGGTCGTTCTGTGCGCCCATAATACTTCTGGGAGGTATTTTCGGCCACAGTCCCTTGGCGTCCTCAAGTTTTTTCTTCATGATGTTTAAGATAGATTTGTTGGAGGATTCTACCCTGCTCGTTGCTGGTGGGGTGGTGTAGGGAGTTGAAAGTATCCTTTTAATGTGCCACTTATCGAAGAACTCAGTGTTTTTTCTCCCTATTGAATGGAGGAAGTCCCTCAATCCTTCTCCTGGGATTGTTTGATGGTGAAGATATCATTTACCCTTATTTCAGCTTTCTTAGCCCAGACACGAGCTGTTACGAACTTATCGACCATCTCTTCAAATATTTCTATGGAGTAAGAGGGCAACTATGAGTACCACGTCAATGCCCCCGGTGAGAGTCTCTCCAAATTTTTTCAGCAAGATGGAAGACACCTGCTCTTTGGTGATGTCGTTGCCTTTCACGGTGGTGACTTAGTTGGTTACATGATCTTCAGGATCGGTTGTCCCATCGTAGATTCTGAGATATGTGGGTATCTTGATGGTTTTTGGTATGGCGTGCAGAGCCGTTTCTTCCCTGTATGGTTGTTCCACAAACCTGTCGGTGTCTCTTTTTGGTATTAATTTAGGAGCGCCTGATATCTTGTCTACCCGTTCCTGGTGTTCTTTCATTTGGTCCCTGAATGCCCTGTTCTCGTTTTCTATTTCTTTCATTCTTTTCATCACGGTGGCGAGGACGTTGTCACCTGCACTGTTAGTAATAGTGTGAGTTTTACCTTAAGTCAGACGGCTCGGTTGGTCGTCCTGTTCGTTCCTACGTGGTACTGTATGGACTCTCGTGGTTTCTGTGGTCGTGCATGGGGTTTTCTTACTGAGCACGCTGGCCAGAGTATCTGTTAGCCATACTTCGAGGAGCTTTTTTACGGCGGGTGGCGCCTCCTCTCCTGTGGACGTGGTGGCCCCCTTCCTGTTTGGTTTTGTTGTGTTGCAGAAAGGTGCAAGTGACCTCTCTCGCCTGGGAGAGGCTGTGGGCGTTACCTCCTCGTCATGGGTGTCATAGCCTTCGTTGATGACACTCATGAGGTTGAGGGGAACATTATTTGTTACCTTCGTTCCCTTTCCTTGGTTACCTGCCATGGAGGTTTTTTTTGTTCCTAGAGAAAAAAGATAAACTTTGTGGTTCGTTAGATTAGCAAGTCAGGCAAGTTATGGATGTAATGGAAACTAAAAAGTTGGCTGAGAAAATCTCCACAGACGACGCCAAACTATATGACCCAAAACTTAGATTTAGGCTTATGCAATCGAATTTTATAATAAAGTGGGGTTAATCTTAGCCAATGTTAATATCCAAAAGATAAACCAAATGCTTCTTGTAGTAGGATCTCACGTGTGCTGTTTGAATGGCAATAAATAACAACAATAATGCTACAATCAACGATCAAAGAATATGAAAAATAGCAACAAATGACAATAAATAGCAATAAATGGCATTTATATAAATAAAATGGATGCGAGTCACCCGAAAAGGGTGGGATTCCTTGATATTCCTTCTGACAAAGGTAGATGATGATAAATTCTTTGAATATTCGGATCCTCCTTGGACCGTGGGAAAAAAAGATAGATAAAGATGTGAGAGAAAGGTGGACTTTGTAGTTTATATGTATATGGTAAAGTAAGAATCTTTAGAGAATGTTAATGTGTTGTTCAGTATCCAATCTCCTCTATAACTATATATTCTTCTATTTATAGGGGGTACATGGACCAAAAAATCCTAAATAGTGCAATTGGGAGGAATATTCATTGGAATATTCTCTTAGAAACCATATTCCTAAAACTAGCCTTTACCCCTATAATAAAGGGAGTGCTCGTCCTCGTCTTCGCTCCTCGTCTTCACCCTATGTTGAGCTACCTCGACCTCGTTGACGGCATTTCGTTTCTTTCATGACGTCGACCGTCTGAGACCAAATCATCACGTCCTGTTGGCGACAGGTGGCAGCCTCCGAAGGCTTACTTAATGTTGACAAGGCCCACATATATTTATGGTAATTTTTAACCCATACAATAACGAGGTTGTTATGTTTTTCTTCTTTTTCTCCCCCTTTCTATTTCAGATATAAGAAAAGGTAATCAAGGGACACAAATATCTCACTGGCACAAAGTTGAAGGAAAAGCAAAAGTATTGATGAATGAAAACAATGATGAAGTGATTGATGTTCCATATATTCATTTGGAGACCATTTTGGCAGCTACTGACAACTTTTCAAATGCAAATAAGCTCGGACAAGGAGGATTTGGTCCTGTTTACAAGGTGGAAATTTCATTCTTAAGAATCTGTGAACTGGTACGGCCACATTGACCTTAGAGTAATGAGATGAAAAACTTTTGGCAGGGTATCTTTCCAGGAGAAAAGGAAATTGCAGTGAAAAGGTTATCTACTCATTCAGGACAAGGCATAGATGAATTTAAGAATGAAGTAACTTTAATTGCAAAACTTCAACATCGAAATTTGGTGAGGCTATTGGGCTATTGCATTAATACAACTGAACAGATATTACTCTACGAATATATGCCGAACAAAAGTTTAGATACATTCATATTCGGTAAGTTTGCCAAAACAAGTTTTTTATTCTCAAATTTTTTAATGTTTTTATAATTGATTTTTTTTTTTTTTTTTGACAAGGATAATTGATCTAATTTTATTGACATCACTAAACTTTTTCATGGTAATGATACAAGATGGAACACTTTGTCAATTATTGGATTGGGAGAAGCGTTATGACATCATATTGGGCATTGCACGGGGTATTGCTTATCTACACCATGATTCACGACTGCGGATCATTCATAGAGATTTAAAAGCTAGTAATGTGTTACTAGATGAGGAGATGATTCCGAAAATTTCAGATTTTGGCTTGGCAAGGATAGTTGAAGGAAAAGGAACGGAGGCAAATACAAAGAAAATAGTGGGGACCTAGTAAGTAGAACATCCCTTCATCTCATTAATTCCTAGCAGGAAGTGAAAAAATCTTATACTGAATGCTTTTTTCATCAGTGGCTATATGTCTCCTGAGTATGCACTGGACGGATTGTTTTCCATCAAGTCAGATGTATTTAGTTTCGGAGTAGTCCTACTTGAGATAGTTAGTGGAAGGAGGAATACGGGATTTTATGAATCAGAAGAAGCCTTGAACTTGTTGGGCTATGTAAGTGAAAAAGTTTCCCATGAAGTAATATTGTATCTTTTACTTAGCTTTGATTCTCTGATAGAAAGTCTAGCTATCACAGGCATGGAAATTGTGGACAGAAGAAGCTGAAATACAATTGATAGACAAGTCCTTACTTGAATCTTGCAACACAAGTGAAGCAACAAAGTGCATAAATATTGGGCTCCTGTGTGTACAAGAAGATCCAAATATACGTCCTAACATGTCAGATGTTATTTTAATGCTGGGAGGCGAAGGTAGTAGTCTTCCACAACCTAATCGACCAGCTTTTGTAATAAGGACGCACATTTCTAGGAAACCGTCTTCTTCCTCCAGTAAGCAATACATTGTCTCCAACAATCAAGTGACAATTACAGTCGAAGAAGGACGCTAGCAGGGGTACTCGATGATTGAACTGTTTTATCCTAGTTAACCTCTAATTTGCTACTAAAAGAGTCGATGGATCATTGTGCATTGGTACAATTGGTCATTGTTCTCTTCTCTATAGCAGTTAGGAGAATGGGGTTGGCGAAACTCTCAAGTATTTGTACTCAACATATATATATATATATATATATATATATATATATAT